TCCCATACTTAAGTGGGGGCAGTTTAGTCTTTGTACTACTAATTAGAGGCTAATCCATATTAAGGGTCGACTGATAGGGTTTAGTCTATCAGGTTTGACTGTTCTCTTCTTCTTCTTCTTCTTCTGCTCTTCTCCTGGTTCGAACTACTGTAGCTACAGGACAAACATGGTATTAGAGCAGGACGTTGCTCTCTAAATCTCCTCACCTGCTCCTTTCTGTTCGTGACCTCATTTTTTTTTTCTTTCTTTCTGGGCTGAAAAATGGAGAACACAGATTCGACCTAGATCTGAGAACACTTCAGTCCTTCCTCTGCACAGAAGTTGACTGTTTTTCAAGAAAAATAACAACTTCAAAAGTGGATGGTCGATTGAAGCTCTCCATCGAAGGTTGGTTACCTTTTTTTTGTGTGCTGTTGGTATTTCTGGGTTGAAAGCCTTCAAAATCTGCTGGGACTGATCAGAACCTAGAGAACTAGGTTGTTTGTAGCCTTGGTTCTTGGAAAAAGGTCCAAGAACAGGCTGTGTTTACAGTGGCCGAATGGTGTAAGGGTATGTTTGACCCTTTTATGTGGGTCTGTAATTGTTTTGAAGCCTTTGTTGGTCACAAGTGACCCGAATTGAATGACAGGTTACTACAGTGGCAGTAGTTGATGTTTTCTTTGGACTTGTAGTGCCCTCTGAAAAGGTCAGACAGATCTGTACCATGTGTGACAGCTATGGTTGTGTGGTGGTGCTTGTGATGCTCAATCTCTATTGAGCAGCTTCAAGAGGGCTTGTATGTGGTCAGTGAGTTGCTGAATTAATGTCAGTGTGATTCATGGTTTTGTGAAATCAGTAGTGGTGTGAACAAGAACAAAAGTTTGTGTACCTATCAACTGTGTTTGGGGACTGATTGATTGTGACTGGCTGTGAACAGCAGTGATTGATTGTGACTGGTTGTGAGCCTATCATTTGTGTTTGGGGACTGCTGTAGTGTCTGGAACATCAAACTCCTGACAGCAGTACTTAGTTGGCGACTAGGAATTCAGATTAGAGGTAGCATTGGAAGAGCATCATGGCAGCAACTGGAGATGGTTGTAGTGATCAGAAACCTAGTGTGGTGATTCCCTCTGACTATCTGGGTGTGCAGATGACTCCAATTAAGCTTAATGGTGAGAACTATGTACCATGGGCCAAGTCAGTGGAAGTTTTTCTCAAGGCAAAGAGGAAAGTGAAGCATGTGAAGGAAGATAAACCACCGGCTGACTCTTCAGGGTTTGATGACTGGAACAGGAAGATGCCCAAATCATGACATGGTTATGGAATAGTATGGAACCCAAAATAAGTGCCAACTTTATGTTCTTAGATACAGCTAAGGACATRTKGGAACATGCCAAGAAKCTTTATTCTGGGTAGGATAATACTACAAGGGTATATCAGCTCTATCAGGAGTATTTCGATCTACAGCAAGGGAATAAAACCCTAGAAGAGTACTATGCCAATATGAAGAACCTCAGAAATGAACTCAATGTCTATCACCCCCTCACTCCAGATGTTAAGGTTCAGCAACAACAGAGGGAACAACTAGATGTCACGAGGTTCTTAGTAGGGTTGAAATCAGAATATGAACCAGTTAGGGCCCAAATATTAGGAGGCTCTACTCTTCCTACACTTGAGGAAGTTTTTGCACGGCTTCGTAGGATTTCTTTCGGACCTACAGAGAATCCCACACAGTCTGACAGATCAGCATTTGTGACAGCCAGAGGAGGTGGACGTGGTACTAGAGGGGGAGGACATGCCTCCCAAGGAGGTCGTAATGGTTCCGTATTTGGCCGTGGTGGTGGTCGTGACTCAGGGGGAGGCCATGGTAAAGGAAAAAGTATCTCTACAAGGAAGTGTACCCATTGTGGCAGGGATGGACATTCGGTGAAATTCTGTTATGATCTCCATGGCCCTCCTTCTACATGGGCCAATCATGCAGTAGCTGGTGGGGTGGATGTCAGTGATAACCAACAGGCAGATCTAACACCTTCCACATCTACATCTGTTTTCGGGAAGGAGATGGTGAGTGTACCGCGTGATGAGTATGAAAGGTTCCTCCAGGCTACTTCACAGCATACTACAACCACCCTTGCCCACTCAGGTATAGCTTGTCTGGCATCCAAACCCTCTCCCTGGATTATTGACTCTGGAGCCTCTRATCACATGACCGGGACTCCAGGTGTGTTCTCTTCCCTCTCTGAAACTTCCACATCTCAAATTGTTACCCTTTCCAACGGTTCCTCTTCTCCCATCTGTGGTGTTGGTAATGTTGACATGGCTTCTCTTTCTTTATCATCTGTTCTATATGTTCCTAAGTTTCCATTCAATCTTATGTCTGTTAGTAAATTAACCAAGACTCTTAATTGCTCTATTACATTTTTCCCTTCCTTTTGTGTTTTTCAGGATCTCAAGACGGGGAAGAAGATTGGTGGGGGG